GAAGACTTCGGATACTAGGCCACCGTGTTGGGCCCAAATACCCAATATTTATACAAAACATTTTACGATTTTAAATTTGTTTCTTTATTTTTATTTGAATGTGTTATTTTAAAATAACCTGTCATGCAATCAGAAATTCTTTGCTAGCTTGGTTTATTCTGTTATTGAAGTTCACAATCATATTTGCTCCTTAACTGATGGAAGTTTCAACATTTCTGTTTGATTATATTTTTTTTTAGCAATTTGCATCTCCTTAGTGAATTTTTCATTACTGTCACCTACTTTTTTCTTCCTTTCCTTAAACTGTCTATCTGTGTTTTCATATATTTCATTAAGTTTCCTTAGGGTTATCATCTTGGATTCTATTTCAGGAGTCCCATAGATTTCTTTCTGATCAGGACCTATTTTTGGAGAACTACGGTCTTCTGTAGGAGGTGTAACGCGTCTCTGCTTGTTTCCTGTGTTGACATCTGTGCATGTAGTGCAAACTTCCCTTTTTATTTATAGAGCAGATATTACTGGAAAGGACTTTGTTTATACGGAATGCAGTGCATTACTTGGTTTGTTACTTCAGCTTTGGTTCTAGGTCAGCCAAGAAGTATAGCCTCAGCATGCTGTCTTTAATCAACACCAGCCGTTTTGACTTTAATCAATGTTCGTCGTGTCTATAAGTGACATGGTTTTCAGTGAGCAGCAGTTCAAAGAGGGAAAAGACGACTTTGAAATAGATGTGATTTGCTAGGTTGTACATCTTCAGTGCCCATTCAGTTGTGAAATAGTCATCGTAAGGTCCATTTAGCATCTTATGGACTTTGAAAACAAGAAAAAACTAGGGGCCACCTTTGTGGCTCAGGCAGTTAAACCGCCATCTGCAACATTGGCATCTTGTATGGGTACCAGTTCAAGTCCTGGATATTCCACTTTTTGTCCAGCTCCCTGCTAATGCATCTACAAAAGCAGCAGAATGTAACTCAAGTATTTGGGTCCTTGTTATCCATGTGGGAGACCCATATTGGATTCCAGGCTCCTGTATTTGGTCTGGCACAATCTTGACTATTGTCACAAGTTTAGGAAGCTACCCAGCAGATGGAAGACATCTTTCTCTGTCTCTCTTTTTCTCTGTAACTCTGCCTTTGAAACAAATAAATATTCAGGAGTATTTTAAAAACAAGAAACAATTCCAAATTAGTAGCAGGAGCGAAGTCATAATGATTGGAGCCGAAAAAATGAAATTTGAACTAAAAAAAAAAAAAAAAGAACAGTTCAAAGGTCAACAAGACAAAAAACTGACTTTTGAGAAGATAAAGAAAAAAAAAAACCCTTTAGCCAGACTAACAAAGAAAAAGAGATAAAAGCTCAAATAAAATTAGAAATTGAAAAGGAGATATTGCAATTGACATCATTGAAGTGCCAGCGATCATGAGAAAATAATGTAACACCAATATGCTAACAAATTGAAAAATCTTGAAGTGGACAAATTCCCACCCATTAGTATTGGAGCATAGGGTAGACCATCTCAGGCTGGCCCACAGCACCTATGAGAATGTGAGAGAACCAGATCTGGGGGCAGATTTGGTAGGAGACCACAGGCTCACCTCTGTAGACTGCAGCAGCTGCTATTTTGCATGGACAGCTGGACCACAGAACTTGACCTGACACTCAAGAGAGCCAGGGAATAAGGGCTGGGAGGAGGCATGGCTCGGCTTGGTAGCAGGCAAGACTAGGCGAGGCCCCAGTACCTGCTGATGCTCATGAGTACCCAAATGGGTGTGGCTGGTTCACATGGGTGTCGAGTCTGGGGTGGGCTCGGCTCGGCTGTAGCACCTACTGGTGAGAGCCAGATTGGGTATAGGCCAGTCAGACTAGGCCACAGTGTCTACCAGTGAGGGCCAGGACTTGAGGCCAGCCATGTCAGGCTGGGTTACAGCACCCAATGTCACTAGCAAGATCTGGAACTGAGAATAGACCTGATAGTGGAACTTAGGGAACTTCCCTTCTGGGTTTGCAGCTCCTGCTTTGTGAACATAAGAGCTGAGACTGGTGAGACCAGGCTGGGCTGCGGCACCAGTCAGTATATTTGTGAGCAAGCAAGGTCTGGGGGTGGGCTGGGCAGGATCAGTCCACAGCACACATTGGCATGAGCGAGAGCCAGGATGGGGTGCAGGCCAGGTTGAATTGCCCCACAACACTCACCAGTTTACATGAAGGCTGATGCAGATTGTGGGCCAGGCTGGGCTAGGCTGTAGCAACTCTTGGCAAAAGCCAAAATTGGTTTAGGCCATTTCTGACAGGGTTACAGCATCTTCTGGTACATGCATGACCTGGGGTGGAAGTGGGCCTAATATGGGAATCTAGGGACTCCCTTTGCTGGGCTGCTGCTTTCACTAGTGAGTGTAAGAGCTGGAACTCGGGGCATGCTGGTCTAGGCTTGGGCCAGGCTGCACTAGGCTGCTGCACCTGCAAGTGTGCCCAAAAGACAGAATGGCATGGGCCAGCCAGGCTAGACCATAGCACCTGCTGGCAAGTGCCAGGGCTGGGTACAAGTCATAGCAGGCTGGAGTACAGTACCCCATGGCAGGTGCATGATCTGGGGTTGGGTGCTGGTCTGGTAGGCAAACCGTGGATACTCTGCTAGGCTGTAGCTCCCACTGGTGATCATGACAGCTAGGACTGGGGATGGATCAGGCTGGTCAAGGCAAGCAGCATTCATTGGTGTATCTGGGGTCTGGGTCTGGGGGTGGGTCCAGCTGAACTAAGCTGTAGCACCCATGGCGGTGCACGAGAGCCAGTTAGGATGCAGGACCAGGTTAAGCTGTAACACATAACAACACATACAAAAACACCAGGGCTAGGGTCAGGCCTAGTGGGGGTCATGAATGGTCATCCTGACCAGGCAGTGGCACCTGTTGGTGTTTGTGAAGACCAGGCCTCTAGCAGGCTGGGCTGGGCTAGGCTACAGCACTCATCGGTTTATATGAGAGGTGGGTGCATGGGTGGAAGTGACTAGGCTGCTGTAACCACCAGTGTGTGGATCTAACCTGACCCTACACTGATTGGTATATAAAGAATCAAGTGTGAGATAACCCCAGGCAAGGTTTCGTGGGAAACTCCCCAGTTAGACTACTGGATTTTTTTTTTTTATTTTTTATTGTTGCTTACATTGTATTATGTAGTACAGTTTTATAGGCGCTGGGGATTCCCCCCACCCCTCCCATACCCCTCCCCCCATGGTGGATTCCTCCACCTTGTTGCATAACCATAGTTCAAGTTCAGTTGAGATTCATTGCTTGCAAACACATGCCTAGCATGAAGTTCAGCGTCTTATTGTCCAGATAAGTTCAGTGGCCTCTTGGGGAGACCTTCTATGGTCTGAAGATAGGTCTAACAGAGTAAAGATCCGGTCAGTTAAAAGCCCCAACAAGGCCTCAGTATCAATATACAACATTATGGAATTAATTGACATAGTATTGGGTAAACAATATGTTAAAAATAATGCAAGTTCCATTCTTCAAAACATCTGGGTTGAGACAGTATCAATGACAGGTTCAAAAAATAACAACCAACCATACAAAAATTACAGGTTAAATCAAGGCAAACATGTGGTATCTAATCTTTTGGGATTCGCTCATTTCCCTTAGCATTATAGTTTCCAGTTGTGCCCATTTAGCCAAAAAGAACTGCATTTTGTTTTTTTTAATAGCTGAGTAGTATTCCATGGAGTAGATGAACCAAAGCTTTCTTATCCAATCTTCTGCTGATGGGCATTTCGGTGGAGCTGCAAATTGGTACAGCCTCTATGGAAATCAGTCTGGAGAACACTCAAACAACTCAAAATCTGCATACCATATGACCCAGCAATAGCACTCCTAGGAATATATCCAAAACACCTGTTTTACGACAAACCAACATGCATCCCTATGTTCATTGCAGCACAATCAGTAATTGCAAAAACATAGACTACTGGATTTAAACCCCAGCCATAGGGTAAATCACAATATATGTGGTCTGGCCTTGGAGTGCATGTATCAGGACTGGGTCTCCTCAGCTGCTGATTCCTGTGCAGTGGACAGCATGCCCAGGGGCACTCAGGGGACATGAAAGCCAGCTCATCTAACCCAGAAGACGTTGAGTGCCAAAAAATGCTGACAAGGATGTGGATAAAGGGGAATTAGTGTACCCTGTTGGTGGGAATGTAAATTAGGTGATTATTGTGGGAAATATGGAGATTTGTTTAAAATGGAAGCTAGAAAACAGGCTTACCATATGATCTAGCAATCCCACTAATGGGTATGTATCTAAAAAACACAAAATCATTTTATAGAGGAGACCCCAGTTCTACAATTTTTACTGCAACACTGGGCACTTACTAATGTACCCAGATGAATAGTTACAGCACTCACAAACATTCAGAAGCAATATATACAAATTAGAATATTCTTTACTACAAAAAACGAAATTCTGTCATTTGTAGTGAAGTGGTTGAGAGAAATAAGCCAGACACTGCAAGACAAACACTCTGCTTTTTCTTGCACATGTGGGAAGGAAAATCCAAAAGAAAGACATGGAAAGAACTGCCTGTGCATATGAGCTTTGCTGCAAAAACAGCACTTTCTCAAACTTTTGTTTCAAATATTTTCCCAGCAAGTTGATAGAAATTATATGCCACTATCATTTTCAATGATTCTGTGATTGACTTTGTGTGAGTAAAAGTATCTTTGTATTTGATTATGTACTTTACAATATTTGCCTAGTTTCTTCCGGGATTAGGTTTCTTTTTTCTTTTTCTTCACATTTTTGAATGTATTACTTGTTGGTGCCATTAAGAGTTTGCCCAAAAGTCAATTGAAAAAAAGAATTAGGAAAATGACTGCAATTGTGGACGAGGAATAAATACTCCAAAAATGTCAAACATGTGCTACCATTTCAAGCATATATAATTCTGTTTGTTCTTTTGAGCTCTGTGACATCCAACAGACCCTCAGTCTTCCCTTAGCCCCTCTTCAGTGGGTGTCAGAAGCCGCCTTACTAACAATAGCTTTCTTCAGTGCCCCTTTGATATCTTGATTCCTGAGTGTGTAAATCAAAGGGTTGAGTAAGGGCGTGATAAAGGTGTAGACCAGAGCGAGTTTTCGTTGTTCGTCTTCTGAGGTGCTGGAGCGCAAGTAGACTAGGCTGCAACATCCATACTGAATCAAGACCACAGTGAGGTGAGAGGAGCAGGTGGAGAATGCTCTGCTGCGGCCTTCTGCAGAGCGGATGCGGAGGATGGTGCGGGCGATGAACCCGTAGGAGATGCTGATAAGCAGGAAGGGGACAGTCAGCACGAGAATGCCCACGACATACAGGACACCCTGTTGCACGCGGATGTCAGCACAGGCCAGGCGCAGGACTGGAGGCACATCGCAGAGGAAGTGGTTAATCTCCCGGTGGCGTCCTCAGAAGGGTAGGGTGAAGATTAAGGTGGTGAGTTGTAGGGAGAGAAACAGGGCCAGGCCTATGGATGCCACCACCATCTGAACGCAAAGCTTGTGGGTCATGATGAGGGTGTAGTGCAGTGGGTGGCAGATGGCCACATAGCGATCATATGCCATCACTGCCAGCAGGAAACAGTCAATGCTGCCAAGAGTAACAAAGAAGAACATTTGGGCTCCACAGCCAGCCAGTGGAATGGGCTTCTGAGGCCCCCAAATGTTGGAAAGCATCAGGGGCACCACCACAGTGGTGTAGCACATTTCCAGGAAGGAGAGGTTGCAGAGGAAGAAGTACATGGGTGTGTGGAGGGAGCTGTGTGTGCAGACCACCCAGATGATGGCCGTGTTGCCGCAGAGGATCATGAGGTAGAGGAGGAGGAAGAGAAGGAAGAGAAGGACCTGGAGTTCCGGGACAGTGGTGAACACCCGGAAGACAAACTCGGTAGGACCGGATTGGTTGAGGACAGGTTTCCAAGCCAACATCTTCTTTGTTAAAAGATGAGAAGCAAGTAAACCCCTGAGCCTGATTGCTTTATTACCTGCATAAAAGAGATTTTAAATTTGATGTAAAATCACCTATTGGTATCCAGTGTTCAATTGTAACGCATGAATTCACAGTAGTTACCCTTATGTGGTTTTGCTTTAGAAATTTTTACCAATGGGGTGAATACCTTGAGGAAGTTACTGGTGAGATGTCTGTTGTTTTTAATTTGATATTAAAATCCCGTTGACAACAGCTAATACTTTCCTTGTGTTAAGTTAAACTAACGTGTTAACTGTGAATATTTTAAATCAGATATATGGATATGTTAGTCACATTTGTAATAAACTTTCTAATCAAAATGTAGCCCCTATGCATAGAAATTGATGGATCCCAAGTGGTCACCTTACTTTTTTTTGCAGATTAATTAAACAAATATGACCACTATTAAGGCATCAGAAATAGGAAAAATGCTAGTAACCTTCAAGTGTTTGTCATTTTTTCAAAGTTTTATTCTCCACTTCATGTAACCATTCTTCTACCCCTTTATATTAGCTTAAGAGTTTCACCTTATGCTCAATGGTACATATTGTAATTGGTTGTGGCATTAGGTCTGCAGGAGTTATTTCTGAAATTCGGCGTGGGAAGACTCTGTTCTTCCTATTTCTTAAATAGTATTATTTTGGCTGTACCGTGAGTTCTCTTTAAGTTTAGTTGCTTTGACTCCATTTATGAAAGCAGGCAAACAACTTTATATCTGGTCTTTTTTTTCCACATGTGAGGACACTTCGAATGATTCATGGAAAAATGGAATTAAAGGATCATCTTTCTACTCCATGAACATTTTGAAGCCCCTCCCCCCCAAGCCCTCTTCATGCATTTCGTCTCATATCAGTATTTCCTCAAAATTTGCAACCAGGAACCTAAAGATTTGGATTCTAATGGAAGTTCTGAATGAGTGAGGACTGACTCAAGCTGGAGGAAATGAAAATGGAGTTTTTGGAACTAAGAAAATAATAGCAAGGTAACTCAAAACGTAATAGCAGAGTTGAGCTATGCATCAGAACAATCAGAAGAAAAACTGGGAAGGAAAAATGTCAGCAAGTACCGTGTTGTTTGGATTGCAGTGTTAACACTAAAAAAGAGGGAAGAGAACAATTCTATAGACATTTAAGAAAAACAAACTGAAAAGAATTCTGTGCTCTTAGACTTACTGATTTCCATTTAACTTGTAACTTCATATGTATACGGTGCCAGAAATGTTGTCCTGAATACACTTAACACAAGCTCTGGAGACAGGTCAGATTCAGGCTGCTGTGACATTGCTTGCAAAACTGACCTCCAGTATTCGATTGCCAGTTCAAGCCCCAGCTGCTCTGCTTATGAAGAATCCCCCTGATAGCACGCCTTGGAAAGCAGCCACGATGGACCCTTGGAATCCTCATGGAAGACACAGAATTCTTGGCTCTTGGCTTCAGCCTGGCTTTGCAACTGCTTGCTTTGAGCCACTCCGGGGAGTGAAGCAGTGGATGTAGGAGATAATGAATATGCTAATTACACTGATTCGATCATACCACCTTGTATCTATATATTGAAATGTCACATTATACCCCTTAGTGTAAAACACTGTAAACCAAAAAATAAAAAAAGAATAGAAAAAGGTAACAAAAACAAAAGTAAAGTGACTAGGAAACAGAGTTTTTAATCTACAGCATCAGTTAGAATATGTTCATTTGCTCATTTGTTCATACTGCTCATAGCCCTGGCCCCGTTTCTTGAGGGATTATATCATTTTACTTTTTTTTTTTTTGCTGAATCTTTTATTTAGTAGGGCCATAAAGCCTTTGACTATAATGTACATCAAACGTTCTCTCAAAACAGTCAGTAAAATATTAAAAGAAGAATATGTCCTCCAAACAAGCAAAGTGAATGAATGAATGAACGATGATTAGCATATCAGTGAATAAATAACAAATTTTGAAGATCTGAACTTGTGTGATTCAGTAGACAAACACACTATGTTAGTGTTAATTGACTGAAACAGTGAGTGAATCAAGCACCATGTTGGAGTGACACGTGTATAGACCTTAAAGACATGGCAAATATAAGAGAAAGCACTTTGCAACCCTATATTTACAGCAGCAAAATCCACAATAGTGCAGAGGCGGAAACCACCCAGATGCTCATTGAAAGAGGAATGGATAAACAAACTGCTACATCTGCTCTATGGGATACTACACAGCCATTTAAAGGACCAAAATTCTACCATTTGCAACAAAATTGTCCCAACTGGAGACTATTATGCTCAATGAAATAAGCCAGTCCCAACAGGACAAATACTCTATCTTCTTTCTGACATAGGACAAACTACGCAAAGCAGAAAACAAGCAGATCTATAGGTTAAAAAATTACATACATTTATTCTCATAGATGAACGGTATAATGAAATCAGCATCCTGGGAAGTGAAGATGTATTGCAGTATGCATGTCTATGCCCAAATAAAAGGAAGCCTCCTAATGAAACAGTTAAATACACCTTGAAAATACAATGTCAGGTTTCCTAACTTTTCCTATACCTACAATGCCATGATTCACTTAAAGAGCAGAATGTTAAATCTGTAACTGTTACTAAAGGACTATATATTCTATTGTAATAATTTGGGGAAATACTGGGAGGGAAAATGGGAAGGGAGGAGTGCGAGGGAGGAACAGAGAATACCTATATCTACAAAAGTGTCTCATGGAAAATAATAAAAAAAGATACTGCAAACAATTAAAAACTATATGTTACATAAAAAATCAAAACCTTGGTTGTGGAGCACGGGGCAGAACACAGCAGTATGGGATCACTCACAGTAGCTAACCACTCTGTTACACTTGCTGCGTTATAAATTATTTCCTGCACTTTGCATCTATTAACTTGTCTCTTAACACCCTCTCTAAAGAGTTCTTACAGGCATTTTATAGACAAGGAAATGAAGGCATTCAGAGGGTGAGCAACAATCTCAAGATCACAAAGCTAGCACATGTTGGATTGGGATTTTAAACATGGGCAGGGTGGTTCCAGTGTTCTTTGTTTTAATTATTTTATTGTATTGCCTTTACTGTGGCTATTGGTCTCACTGTCTATACCATATAACTGTAGTGAATCTGTGTACAATACATCTAAGATACAATTACTTACGTCTTGGGCTTATGTAAGAATTGAATGGATTGTACTTGAAAATCCCTACAATAATATATATTAACTATGATCAGTCACAAAGGATTTCTTTCTCCTAATATGCCTTGAGGACAATGGGCTAATATATTTCCTAATGAATGCATATTTATGTAAAAAATATATATTATTGGTGATGGATTTAGGATTAGGATTCAAACTTTAAAAAAAATTTGAGGAAAACCAGAAGGGACTGTGAAGATGAACAGTTTTTTCAGGCTCAGAGTAAATAGTCAAACAAGCAAAGATAGAGTCTACAAGAATATTACTGCTCTTAATAAAATATAAAGGTATCCATAGAGCAGAAACGCACTAAGAAAACCAAATAGCAAACGAAGTTTCACAGCCAAATGAAAGAAACCCACTCATGAATTAATGAAAAAACCTATGAAAACTTACCATGAGAAAAATAATAGAAACTTTAAAAATGCCTAAAATATGTGCATAAAAATACAATCTCATTAATGTTCAAACAAATAAAATGAGATACTGTTCTCTGAGATTAATGGTGAGGTAAGGAGATAATTTGTGGAATTGTTTAACTTAAGTGGATATTCATTCCCGAATATATACGTAGTCAGTCAAAGTACAAATGGATGTAAAGTTTGTGGCATGCAGTTTGGTAATATATAATGAAATATGTGATGAAATGCATACATTCTGCTTTGCTATATTACATTTAAAAATTTAGTCTTATCAAGTGACCAGGTGTCTGCAATTACTGACTAATTTTTGATGTAATAGTTAAATATTGCCTCCATCCATCTTGGAAATTCAGTAAAATTGTCATCTCTTGTCTATATTCCTGATGAACAATGTCATTTCTATTTTTTATTTGTTGAACTCTTTTTTTAGTGGAGTCTAAAGCCCTTGACTAAAAGTAAATGAAAAATGTCACAATAAAAACAGAAAGAAAAAAAAAAGAAAAAGAAAGGAGGAAATATATCATTAGAAATATAGCAATGAACTACATAAAATCTGTTATCTTTATATTAAAAATGTAAACAAAACTGAAAAAATTATATCAACAAAATATTAATAATAGGAGGATACTAATTAATTGTGGTCTACTTATTAAGGGAACATCATGCCATAATGTAAAATGGTGCTGTAAACACAACCATAATATGATTGTGTGAAGGCTAATGAAGACTCAGCTTGGAAAAACATTACACGTGATTTAACTTAGCAAAATTTAAAGGTAATTTTGCCTGTTCTCGTAACAATACGTGTAAAGATATAAGCTGGTATGATTTCCTGCATTTATGGATTTTATAATAAACATGCCCAATTTTGCAACCAAATCATTATTTAAAAATTTTCTCTCACTTAACTTCAGAAAAATGTTCAAAATAGGTGGAAAAAAATTGAAGAGTGGAGTGTTGATGACATGAACTTCGAAGTCAGTTAGCCCTGGATTGGAGGGGGAGTACTGCACTTGATAATTGACTCTGCATAAGCATTGCTTGGCTCCCTATGGTGTGACTGCGGAATGGTAATATGGACCTATAAGGGGAATTTATGAAGATTGTTTCAAGTGTGCCATGCTCTGAGTCATAGCAATCATTCACTAAAATAAGTATGCTTACACCTCTTTTCTGATATGCTACAGTTCCATGAAATACTTACACTTCAGTTCTTATCTTTTGCAGAACAGACAGTCAGGTTTCTCTAAATTTTATCTCCTTAAGTTCTCCACTTGTTCTAATAAACCTAGAACAATGAAATAAAAAATAAAAAGAAGAATCTAACCAAAGAGGAAAGTTCAGTAAACTACATATC